CCCCAAGCACCCCAAGCACCCCAAAACCCTAAAACCTTAATTAAACCCCAAACCCCAAACCCTAAACCCTAAACTAAACCCTGAAATCAGCCCTCCCGCCCCCCACCCCGCCCTGGCAAAACAGAAAAGGAAAAATCGACAAGCCCTGAACCCTAAACCCTAAACCCCAAACCCCAAACCCTAAACCCTAAACCCTAAACCCTAGACCCTAAACCCTAAACCCTAAACCCGAAGCAAAATGAGAGCGGCGGCCCTCCCTGAGGCGACCACCGCCGTGCTCGGAGGACTGTTCCGTGCACCTCAGGGTGTCTCCCGCTTTGGGGCCTCCGTGATGTAGGAGGTTTAGGGTTTAGGGTTTGGGGTTTAGGGTTTAGGGTTAAGGGTTTAGGGTTTGGGGTTTAGGGTTTAGGGTTTAGGGTTTAGGGTGGCCATATGCTTCGGGGGGTTTACGGGGTTGAGCGGGTGTAGGGGGATCAAGGCTTAGGGCTGCTTGAGGCTCGCAGGCTGAAAGCGAACTCTCCTTCGGAGGCGCCCCCGATACCTGCCTACTATGGAGTAGACCCTGGAGAAAACAAAGTATCTACTTCTGAGGTATAAGTAGCTATAGTAGGAACCCAGAGCCTACGTGGTGGGCTTCGGAATTCGGGTGTTGAAGCGGACGGTTCCTCTTGTCTCATGAGCACACAACTTCCCCCCCCCCCCTCCCACTACCCGAGAAAAGAGTGATCATGAGAAAGCAACTACACGCTGCACCCTCATGTTCTCAGGCGGCAGGCACCGGGGTTGATCAATCCGCCCCACCGTTCCAACAAGAGAGAGAGAGAGGGAGAGAGAGAGAGAGAGATATATATATATATACATATATATATAGATATACACATACATATACACGTATCCACGTGTACATTTTTTTGGACAGCAGGAGACTCCGGAAGAGTCATGAAGCTGGCCGGTATACTTCGTAGGTCCTGCGGTATGTTGAAGTAGGCTGTCTTGCTACTGTTCTTGGTGAGTGTATTTCGGGTTCGACATATCGGTGGGGTGTATATGTGGGGGTGGGGAGTGTCCTTTTGAGGATGCAAAAACCGTTCTTCGTGTACGTGTCTTGATCGCGCTTCCACCTCGACTTCGTCACCAAAAATCGAAAGCTGATCGTCATCAAACAGCACACGATGGGGTCTGCCGGTGGGTGCACCGCACCCACATCATGCTGCCTGAAAACCTCGACCCTTATGAACACTAAACCCTGAACCTGAAACACCCTACTCTAGAAGCTTTTGAAAAAGATAAGGGACCACATTCAGGGAACATGAAACTATCCCAAACCCTAACCTCTGTAATGCCCTAAGCCCCTAAACCCCTAAAACTCCGAAAATCCTGAAAACCTTCAAAACCCTAAACCCCGAACCCTAAACCCCTAAAAACCCGAAAACCCTAACACCCTAAACCTGAAACCACCCTCCACCCGAAAACCCTGAAAACCTTCAAGAGCCCCTTTAAACCCCTAAACCCAAATCCCTAACCCCTAAAAAAACATCCTCCAGTCCAAGAGGCCACCCAGTGCCCAGGGACTTAACGCCCGCCCGCGCAAGATCCTCTTGCGATGGCTTGATACAGCTTTGGGTTTAGGGTTTAGGGTTTAGGGTTTAGGGTTTAGGGTTTAGGGTTTAGGGTTTAGGGTTTAGGGTTTAGGGTTTAGGGTTTTGGGTTCAGGGAAAAAGTCTTGGGTTTTGGAAGTTGAGGGTTCAGGTTTTAGAAAGTTTAGGGTTCGGGCTTAAGGAAGTTTAGGAGGTGGAGGGTTTGGGATTAGGGTATCGGGTATAGGGTATAGGGTATAGGGTATAGGGTTTAGGGTTTAGGGTTTAGGGTTTAGGGTTTAGGGCTTGCAGGGGTTTAGGGTTTCGGGCTTAGGGATTGCAAGGCCTTGGGGCTTCGAAAGGGGCTTGCAGGGGTCTGGGGGCGGGTGAGAAGGGGTTTAGGGTTTAGGGTTTAGGGTTTAGGGTTTCGGGTTTCGGGTTTAGGGTTTCGGGTTTAGGGTTTAGGGTTTAGGGTTTAGGGTTTAGGGTTTAGGGTTTAGGGTTTAGGGTTTAGGGTTTAGGGTTTAGGGTTTAGGGTTTAGGTTAGGGTTTAGGGGGATTAGGGTTTAGGGTTTAGGGTTTAGGACTTGTTTAGGGTTTAGGGTTAGGGTTTAGGTTTGGGTTTAGGTTTAGGGTTTAGGGCCAGGGTTAGGACTTGGAGGATGCAGGTTGAGGTTTAAGGGTTTAGGGTTTAGGGTTTAGGGTTTAGGGTTTAGGGTTTAGGGTTTAGGGTTTAGGGTTTAGGGTTTAGGGTTAGGGTTTAGGGTTTAGGGTTGGAGGATTTAGGGTTTAGGGGGTTTAGGGTTTAGGGTTTAGGGTTTAGGGTTTAGGGTTTAGGGTTTAGGGTTTAGGGTTTAAGGAGGGTTTTACGGCCAGGGCGCAAAGTTTAGGGTCTGGGGTTTTGGTTTGAGGGCTTTTCCCCAAACCAACCCCAAAACTCTCCGACACTTCCAGGTTCCTAGGAGTACACCATACTTAGCCCCCAAAAAACGTAGAAAAGCCGAAAAGCCGCTAAACCCCAAACCCCAAACCCTAAACCCCAAACCCCAAACCCTAAACCCTAAACCCTACCCGCCTAAGCCCTAAACCCTAAACCATAAACCTACACACAGCCGGCCTCCTCTGCACGGCGCCTGAGGCGCTGCGAGAAGCCCCAGAGGAACTGGTCCTCGAGCCTGCAAGGTTTGCGATATAGTGGGGTTTGGGGTTTGGGGTTTGGGGTTTAGGGTTTAGGGTTTAGGGTTTAAGGTCAGGCCTTCAAGGGCTTCAAGGGGTTCAAGGTTTCAAGGTTTCAAGGAAAGGGTTCCAGAGGTTCGAGGGGTTCAACGGGGTTCAACGGGGTTCAGGGCTCCGTTTGGGGTTCTGACACCGTGGTTTGAGGAATTTCTTGCTGGACAGCGAGGGAGCAAGTCCAGGTTTTCTCGGTTCGAAGGTTTCAAGGTGTTGGGGGCTGAAGAGTTTAGGGTTTAGGGCTTAGGGCTTTGGGGCTAAGGGTTTCAGGTTGAAGGTTCGAAGGGTACGAAGGGTTCGAAGGGTTCGAAGGAGGGTCTAAACCGAAAAAAACCCCAAGCCCTTAACCCTAAACCCCAACCCCCAAAGGCCAACACCCTAATCCCGAAAAACCTAACACCACAAACCCTGAACTACCCGAGCCCTAAAAAACCAAACTCTAGACTCCAAACCCTAAACCCTGAACCTCAAACTCCAAACCCCAAACCCTAAACCCCAAACCCTCTATTACAAAGCCACGCTGGACAAGGAAAGCATGAACACGTGGAGACTTAGGGTTTAAGCTTAGGGTTCTAGGGTTGCCAGCCTTTGGGGCTTTTATGCTTTGGATTTTAGGGTGTCGGGTTCTAGGTTTTAACGTTCTAGGGCTTACGATGTGAGGGGGAGAGAAAGAGAGAGAGAGAGAGAGAGAGAGAGAGAGAGAGAGAGAGAGAGAGAGAGAAATGGGCATGTGGATGGAGGGATGAGCGATCTGGAGCCACCAAGCCAGTCGACAGATGACGTGAACATCAGGAGGGCCCCAACCCCCTAAAACTCACACCAGAAAACTCTAAACCCCCTCAGCCCCAAAATTTGCCACAGCCAGGTTTAGGGTTTAGGGCTTAGGGTTGAGGGCTGAGGGTTGAGGGTTGAGGGTTTAGGGTTTAAGGTTTAGGGTTCAGGGTTTAGGGTTTAGGGTTTAAGGTTTAGGGTTTAGGGTTTAGGCTTTAGGGTTTAGGGTTTAGGGTTTAGGGTTTAGGGTTTAGGGTTTAGGGTTTAGGGTTTAGGGTTTAGAGTTTCCGCCATCCGGTGCCTTGCCAGCTCATAGGAGCTACCAAAGCCACCGCCCGTGCAGGACCTCCGCCAGAGGTCGAGGTAGCGCCTTGGGAGGGGGTTTCGGGTTTCGGGTTTCGGGTTTAGGGTTTCGGGTTTAGGGTTTAGGATTTAGGGTTTAGGGTTTCAGGGCGTTAGCTAAGGGCCCTTAGGGCTTGGGAGCTTCTCGGGCGTTGGGGCTTAACAGCTTTGAAGGGTTTTGAACTTGAGCTTTGGGAGCTGGGATTCTGGTCAGGTCTCTACACGACAGTCATCATGACAGTAGGATCCCTTTCGGGTACCGTACAGGTAACGGTGCCAAGAAGCGCACCTCATTTTTCGGGAAATGGTCACTCGAGGTTTGGCTGCTTTCTCCAGCTACTTTCATAAAAACGTTGGCCGCTACTCCTCTACACTAGGGCGCAGGGCTGGGAAGATTGGCTTGGGGCTGGAAAGTCTGGGTGGCGACGCCAACCCAGTTGTCGCGACTATAAGTGGTCATTTGATCAGTTTTATACCCTAGCATATCCCCCAAAACCCTTAACCCTAAACCCTAAACCCTGCTACAAGGCGCTGGGGAGGACCGAATAAAGGACACTCACGTTATAATGACTGCTTCTTCCCGTTGCATGATCTGCACGACACGCACGCCTGCACTCGCCATGGACCGTTGCTCCACTTCTCTGAAGCACGTTGGAGAGTTTCCTTCATTTGGGGTTCCATGAGGTACAGCTGGTCTATCGGAACTTCTTACGACAAAGAGAACTTCCCCAAAAAGGCTGGAAACTCCGACCGACGCTGAAGTGTGCTTAAAAGCCTTGAAATGTGCCATGGCTGGACCAAAATCAATGCTGCACTTTCTCTGCTGCCACCCTTTCTCTGGAATGTCAAAGAGTTCTTCTCATAAAACCATTCCAAAGGGTCATCGGACATGGAGGTTTAGGGTTTAGGGTTTAGGGTTTAGGGTTTAGGGTTTACGGCTTAGGGTTTAGGATTTAGGGTTTAGGGTTTAGGATTTATGGTTTAGGGATTAGGGCTCAGGGTTTAGGGCTCAGGGTTTAGGGTTTAGGGAGGTTTACGAAATCGGCCCCGGGGGGGCATCGTGCCAAAGCAAGTGCAACATCAATCGGGAACACCGCTGTACAGGCTCTTCCAAACGTACACGGCACTGCATCGCTCAGAGTCAATCATGTTCTTCACCGCGGGGACATTGTCGTAGGCCATCTTGAACCAAGCATAAGCACCCAAGAAGAGAATGTTGTACCAGGGTGGGAAAACCAGGGCCACAGTGACCGCAGAGGCGATCGCCACGCTCATCGTGTGGTAGACGGGTGAGATGCTGAGGTCGCCATAGCGCCCACCCCTTGAGGTGAAGGGCACCACATAGCAGCTGACGAAGCGCACGAGCACGCCCATGTGCAGTAGTATCCAGGACTGCTCGAAGACAGTGGGATCTTGCACGAACACCCGCAGCGCCACGCCTGTGCGCAGCAGCCCCACGCCCACGTAGCCCGGCACGGTCAGGTACTTGATGCCCCATACGTGCGGTGCCATCGCCAGGCCTGTGGGGATGTGGAACAGGAGTGCGCTGGCCGTACACACGTAGCTGAGGGTGTGGGAACCAGAGTTGGCCATGAGCACCGCCACATAGCCCACAGAGAGCTCGAATATTCCCGAGAGGACGTGAACCAGAAAGATGGTCTTTGTTGGCTGGCTCGAAAGGAACTTCTTCTGGTTGTTCCGCTGGAACAAGTCATAGTGCACGTAGTAGTGCCCATAGACGAACAAGTCGAACAGGAAGATCAACGTCGCCAATGCACTGTCCATTGCTCTTTGCGTTGGGGATGCACTATGGAACTGCCATCGTGCTTTCGCTACTCAACAGTTGGCAAGGTTCCTTGTGGAGAGCTTCTGCAAGCCGAAAATGGCAAACAACAAGCTCACCCGTAAGACCTTAAACCCTAAACCCTAAACCCTAAGCCCTAAACCCTAAACCCTACACCCCTACACCCAGAAGACTGGCCTTTATGCAGGAGGCTGTGAGGCTATGGGTACTGGAGTTTGTGCCGTCTCTTGTCCCAAACTCTAAACCCCCTCAACCGCCCAAAACCCTCAAAAAAACACACTAAACTCCCAAAGCCCTAACTAAACTAAACCCCTACACCCTAAACCCTGAAACCTCCCCCCCCCCGCCCACACACCCTAAAACCCCAATCCCCAAAACCCAAGCCCCAACAAATCCCAAACCCTAAACGCTAAAAGTTACGCTACCCCTAACCCCATATTCTAAACCCCCAAACCCTGGCCCTAAACCCTAAACCCTAAACCTCAAAACCCCTAAACCCTAAACCCCCCACACCCTAAACCCCAAACCCCTTAAACTCCCAAACCCTAGCCCTAAACGCTAAACCTCCGAACCCTAAACCCGAAACCCCAAACCCCAAACCCCCAAACCCCCAAACCTCCAAACCCCCAAACCCTCCCTAAACCCCCGAACCTTAAACCCTCAACCCTAAACCCCAAACCCTAAACCATGAACCCCTAAACCCTAGCCCTAAACCCTAAACCCCAAAACCCCAAACCCTCAACTCCCAAGTGACTGGGCGCCCGGGCTCTGCCTCCGCGCTGGTGGGCTTCCGCCCCGCCTCCTTCGTGAACTCGGCCAGGGCCGCCGACCACATGAAGTAGAGGGAGTCCTTGGAGGGTTTAGGGTTTAGGGCTAGGGCTTGGGGGTTTAGGGTTTGGGGGGTTCAGGGTTCAGGGTTGAGGGTTTAGGGTTGAGGGTTTAGGGTTTAGGGTTCAAGGTTTAGGGCTTAGGGCTTAGGGCTTAGGGTTTTGGGGTTTAGGGTTTAGGGTTTAGGGTTTAGGGTTTAGGGTTTAGGGTTTAGGGTTTAGGGTTTAGATGGGTTTAGGGTTTAGGGTTTAGGGGTTGGGGTGTAAAGCTTAGGGATTAGGGCGGTTGCGGGATCCCATGATGGAAGGTATGAGGGCTTTGGGCTTGGGAGGGTTTGAGGGCTTCGGGGGATTTGGAGTTTAGGCCTGAGGCTTGGCGCTTAGGGGAATGGGGCTGAGGCTTAGGCTTCGGGGTCTAGGGTTAGGGGCTGCGGGCTTTCTTGTGTGAGGGCGTGGGTGTAGGTAGGGTTTAGGGCTTTGGGCTTAGGGGTTCAGGGTTTGGGATGACTCAAGGTTCGGGCCGCCCAAGATCTGATGTTGCCTATTGGCGGCTATACAATCCTCTTGGGACATCGATGCGTGTGATACCCCGAAGCCCCATTCAGGGTTTAGGGTTCAGGGTTCAGGGTTTAGGGTTTAGGGTTTAGGGTTTAGGGTTTAGGGTTTAGGGTTTAGGGTTTAGGGTTTAGGGTTTAGGGAACACTCACACGACGACAGAGGTCTCTGAGTCGCAGCCCTCCTCTACAAACTCCCACTCAGAAGAAGCCTCATCCACGGCAACAGGCGAAGATCGAGAGGTCGGGCTCCGAAAGATCCGACAATCCCAACTCATCACCCTAAACCCTAAACCCTAAACCCTAAACCCTAAACCCTAAACCCTAAAACCCTAAAACCCTAAACCCTAAACCCCTCGAACACCAGGGCAGCCACATCCTGGATCCCGCCACGACGTCCCGTCGACTGCAGACCCACCCAGATAGCGTGATGCCCCGAAGCCCCATTCAGGGTTTAGGGTTTAGGGTTTAGGGTTTAGGGTTTAGGGTTTAGGGTTTAGGGTTTAGGGTTTAGGGTTTAGGGTTTAGGGTTTATTGCTTCGGGTTATTTCTGCAAGTTTTTCCTTTCCGAGCTGGAATGTGAGCAGGGTCTCTCGCACAGGTCTGTAGCCCACGGCGACAACATCAAGCAATTTCCGTCGGGTGGCTTTTGCCTTCTGTTGGACACCTGCCAGTCCCGAAGCCCGAAACCCCAAACCCTAAACCCTAAACCCGAAAGCTTTTGGCTTCAGATTCGGGGCTTGGGAGCCTGAGCTCTGAAAACTCAGCTCAGCGTGGGGAGCTGCGTTGAAACCAACGCATCCTCAAACCCCGAAACTCTCTAGGGTTTAGGGTGTAGGGTTTAGGGTTTACGGTTTAGGGTTCAGGGTTTAGGGTTTAGGGTTTAGGGTTTAGGATTTAGGGTTTAGGGTTTAGGGTTTAGGGTTTAGGGTTTAGGGTTTAGGGTTTAGGGTTTAGGGTTAGGGTTTAGGGTTTGGGGCTTAGGGTTTAGGGTATCTTTAAAAGCCCTCCCCTTCAACAGACGATAAAAACCCGTCACAAACCCTTCACGAACCCTTTGCCACATCCCTATGCGGCCACAGGTTCCGGAAATCCCATAAACCCGCTAAGCCCGCTCTAAAGCCACGAGCCCGAAGATATGCCCCTGCAACCCCAGTTTGAGGGTCTAGGGTTTAGGGCTTTAGGGTTTTTAGGTTTGAGGGTTTTAGGGTTTAGGGCTTAGGGTTTTCGGGTTTTAGGGTGTTGGGGTTTTAGGCTGTAGGGTTCTAGGGTTCTAGGGTTTTAGGGTTTTGGGGGTTGTAGGCTTTTTTAGGGTTCTAGGGGTCAAAGGTTTAGGGGTTTAGGGTATAGGGTTTTAGGCCCTCCACTGAGCTCCCAGGCCATGTTGGCAAGGAAGCCGGTCAAGAAGGCGTAGCTCGCGGCCTCGGGCATTGAAGGAAGTAGGGCATTGGAAGCCGCCCTCCAAAGGTTTAGGGTGTGGGGTTTAGGGTTAGGGTTTAGGGTTTAGGGTTTTGGGTTTAGGGTTTAGGGTTTAGGGTTTAGGGTTTAGGGTTTAGGGTTGAGGGTTGAGGGTTGAGGGTTGAGGGTTTCGGGTTTGGGGTTTAGGGCTGATGGCTTGGGGACCTGAGGCCAGCACGAGAAAGCCCGAAGCCTTAGAAAACCGGAGCTTCCTTGCAACTTAAGTCCGAAAACTCCAAACTCTCTGCCCTTAGCCATAGACCCCCCCCCCCCCCAAAAAAAAAAAAAACACACATGAAACCCTTAGGCCTTAGATCAAAAAGGACCTAAGCCTCTTGAACCCTGAGACCTCCCAGAACCCTTAAGCTCTGGGCTTCAAACCAACAAAGAACTTGAGCCTTAAACCCTAATGCCTTGAAAACCCTCAAGCCCCAAACCTTACATCCACAAACCTTGGAGAGCTGAAGCCCCCTCTTCTGGGCTTAGGGTTTAGGGTTTAGGGTGTAGGGTTTAGGGTTTAGGGTTTAGGGTTTCGGGTTTAGGGTTTAGGGTTTAGGGTTTAGGGTTTAGGGTTTAGGGTTTAGGGTTTAGGGTTTCGGGTTTAGGGTTTAGGGTTTCGGGTTTTTAGGGTTTAGGGTTTAGGGTCTAGGGTTGAGGGTTTCGGGTTTAGGGTCTAGGGCCCTGTCTGCCACGCCATGGGCTCCGGCATTCACCTGAACGGTCAGCGGGGCCGGCGCGTCCGAGGAGGCACCTGCTTCCATGTCGGAGCCTATGGGTTTGGGTTTTGGGTTGAGGGTTTAGGGTGTTAGGGTGATAGGGTGTTAGGGTGTTAGGGTGTTCGGGTGTTCGGGTGTTAGGGTGTTAGGGTGTTAGGGTGTTAGGGTGTTAGGGTGTTAGGGTGTTAGGGTGTTAGGGTGTTAGGGTGTTGGGGTGTTAGGGTGTTAGGGTGTTAGGGTGTTAGGGTGTTAGGGTGTTAGGGTGTTAGGGTGTTAGGGTGTTAGGGTTTAGGGTTTAGGGTTTAGACCCCGAAACCCCTATACCCTAAAGAGTTTAGAGCTTAGGGCTTAAAACTTAAAGTGTAAGGATTCAGGCATATCTGGGGCAAACCCCAAAACCCAAACCCTAAACCCTAAATGGTCACGTCTCTAAAATATGGTACCTTTTGGGGTCCTGATTACAAGGCGGCCCCTGTTACTTCGGGTACCCAAAAAGAGACCCAAATTTTGAGAACTGACCAAATCGAGTCTCCAACCCAAAAACCCTAAACCCCAAACCCCAAACCCTAAACCCCAAACCCCAAACCCTAAACCCTAAACCCGAACCCCAGACCCTAATTCAACCCTAAACCCTAAACCCCAAACCCCAAACCCTGAACCCCGCCTAAACCCTAAACCCCAAATCGAGTCTTGGGGACGCGGCCATGTGCTGTGACCGCTTCGGCATGGATGGCGAGGGTTCGGCGTGCGGAGGCCCGCGCTGCACGGGAGAGCGCCTTTCTGGGTTTAGGGTTTAGGGTTTAGGGTTTAGGGTTTAGGGTTTGGGGTGTAGGGTTTCGGGTTTAGGGGTTTCAGGGTTTGGGGTTTGGGGTTTAGGGTTTAGGGTTTAGGGTTTGGGGTTTGGGTTTCGGGTTTAGGTTTCGGGTTTAGGGTTTAGGGTTTAGTTTTTAGGGTTTAGGGTTTAGGGTTTGGGGTTTGGGGTTTAGGGTTTGGGGTTTGGGGTTTAGGGTTTGGGGTCTAGGGTTTAGGGTTTTTAGGGTTTAGGGGCTTTAGGGTTTTAGGGTTTAGGGTTTACGGGTTCTAGGGTTTAGGGGTTTTCGGGTTTAGGGTTTAGGGCTTCGGATTTCGGGTTTCTGGGTTTCAGGGTTTTGGCTTTGGGAGTTTTAGGCTTTTAGGGGGGTTGAGGGTTTTGGGGGCTTAGTGTCTTTTTGGTTTGCGGTTTGGGTTTAGAGTTTAGGGTTTTTGGTGTAGGGTTTTGGGGTTTGGGCGGGCGTAGGGATTATATGGCAACGTGTCACACCCTATACCCTGCATACCCTAAATCCTAAAACCTGCAACCCCAAGCCAAACTTAGAAACTCTGGGAATAACTCACAAAACCTTGAAAACTGTAAGCCCTGAACGCCTAAACCCTGAAACCAAAAAGC